GGATGTACCAGTCCGGGTCCGGGTGGACATGGGAACACCAGAAATTAAGAGGTGGTTCTCCGCTCCTCAAAACTTTCTTATCAAAAGCCTTGCAGATAGATGTAGTTTATCGTCATACTCAGGACGTCAAATCTTACAATTGGTAAGTATTTTGTAAGGAAGCTTAATTGCGCAAGAAATTATCAATTTTTTTTTTCTGGAATCAGATCCACTGAATATGCAACATATAAATAAAAGCATTAGGGTACATCAGCGTGGTGTAATGGTTAGCAAGCTTGGCTTGCTACAACAATTACGAGTGAGTTCGATCCTCAATGGGAACTCTCTAATTTCTGCCTTGTGCCGCATCTAAGCTACGCTTGGGGCATCGCTATAAATAAGAGTATAGCAAGAATCCTGGTCTTTTAGGCTTTCAACATTCGAATACAATTTTTGAAAACAATGATCTACTATCTTTTCGTCGCGGACTTAACTGATTGTTTTATTGTGTAGAATTTTAGTCTTGAGAGATCCTGGTTGCCATCCACAAATATAATTGATCGGCATTAAAATATTTTATCGATTCAACAACGAAATGAAAAACAAAATAAAATGTTGTTTCTGAAGTTTTTAGATAAAATATTTTCATCATTTTTTATGGTATTTGAGTTACGATCTTACCTTTGTTTCAGTGACTGATAAGTTATTTGCTTTTTTCGTTCAGGAGGAAGATATTTTAAATTGGAAATCGAGAGGGCGTTATCACAAATGTTTTAAATGCCTTAGATTTCTTGGTTGTATCATCGTCATTGAAGAAGTCATCATTATTAATATTATTTATATTCGAACTCTTGTCCTCATCTTTGTCAAAGTGCAAATAATGTAAATGCCGTAGACGTTATGACGAAAAATCACAAGAGAGCGAAAAAAAGAACTTTAAAAAAAAAATCAGTCTAAGAAATTTAGACAAATTAATTCAACCCCTCTAAGCTACAAATATAAAATACAGCAGAGAGTAAAACTGAAATAATGCGAGAGTATGATTAATTTCGGATTATATATACTGGTTAGTTTTTCTTTATATCAACTGATGATATTTAGTCACCCCTCCACGAGGGTGTCATGTGACACAAGGCCTTTTTAACGTTAGGCTCGGCCAAAAAATAGCCCATTGAACCCGTATAAACGGGTTCAGGGCCGGTTTTACCTCCCCGAAGGAGACTCCGCCCTTCGGCGGGGGTTCCTCTCCGTCCGTAGACAGAGTGTTGAACCGAACAGTCAGTCGAGAAAGCGACTCTTTATACCAACTGATAAGGCGCTATCACGTTCGAAGATACTTTAAAGAAAAAAATGTCTGCTAACTTAATGGCTACCTAATAAATGTAAAAACTATTTAAGAATTAAAATGAAATCACAAAAGCTGAAAAAAAAAAATAAATGCATAAAATGTGCTGCAATATTTGCATAATTCTTTCATGTCAAGTCCTTCAACGAACGTAACAAAATGAAATGAAACAGGTCCCACCAAATGGATATACAAACTTTCATTTCCAAACGACTATCATTTATTTCGACCTGTTGGAAGCGCGCAGGTGCATTGTGTAGATGAAATAATAGACATTCCATTCTTTCACTTTAGGAAATATTTGGCCTTCAAGAAGATTCTCTATTATTGAGTTAACGGCTGAAGGAATTTATTCGCAGCTGACTAGCTTAATGCTATCATATTGTCACCCGAACACAGTATGCGCGTTCCTTGAATGATTAAAATGTGTTAATTTGGTCATCGATTTATGAATATCATTTGTAGTTACAATTAGCCGCAAGAAATTCACTGAACATGTCTGAAATCGAATGATAGATATGTCTACCTCCATTGAATCACTTGACAATGAAGTAATAAACGATAAAACAATCTCTGACATTATAAATACGGGCGAAAAATCTCAGCGCCAATAGGGAAGTATTTTATTTATTGGGTTACCCACTCAGATTCACTTATGTCAGCTTTTTAGTTGAGTACTGGTTGTTATTCAAATCACATCTGAATAAAATTGTTGAAGATTTTTTTCTGATATTTGTTTCCATTAGACTACGATGTACTTATAAACAATGCTGAACAGGAAGAAATATTAATCATTTGCTAAAAGGCTTCTTGGAAGTTTGTGAAGAATTTAATCCCATTTGGGTTTTGCATAACTTTTTTTATGCTGACTGTGGTCGAAAACACACACCAGAACAAATTTTAATGACTCACAAGAAAAAAGAAACCCTGTCGGGCGCTCTACTAAACTAAACTTTGTAGCTGTCAATATTGGTCGTAGTGGAATAATTTTTAGTATGTAACCTTGGCAGATTATTAATCACTGTAATTAGTTAAGTCTTCAGGAGAGACTTACTATTCTGCCATTGTGATGTGTGAGTAGTGTAATAGTAAAAGGAAATCATCGAGCTTAATTCGAATTCCAGCTCTTCCCCTCGCAATCTATGGGTTAAATAACATGGCTGAAAGGGCATTTTTAACCTGAAGTGGAAACCAATCTGGGTGTTTAAAAATCTAAATTCAAAACCATCTTGAAGAGATATGAGCTCCGTCAGACTATGCTGTCCTAGACACATCACTATTGTAACGGCTGCAATACATATGGTGTCCCTACATTAACGGAATCATGACGTGATGATCTAAAAAGATCAGTTTCGTGACCATGTATATCAGTCGTACTTGCGTGCTTAGTAATGAAACAATATTTGGCCTGCTAATATAAGCTTGTATAGCGAATTCGATATTCCCCTTTTTTTTAATTTAATATACACCTTTTCTTCCTCTTCCTGCATATACAGAAAAAGATATGATTAATGTGTTGTCCAAATTTTTTAGGTTCTGAGAAAATAAATTCGGGGCTTTCTTTACACTACGTTATCTATCCAGGCTGTGTGTATTCTTACAAATTACTCTCGACAAACAAAACATCCCCAAGGCTGAGATGTGTTGACTACCTCAGAACACAATTATCTTTACAGAAAGATACCTAGGATGATTCTAAAGTATGAAAAAGAGATGCCACATGCTTTTTCTTTAAGCAAGGCCTCCTAAGATTAAGACGGTCAGGTGAAGAAATTTGCGACATTTCACAAATCACTATTCTGCTGTAGAAAACTTGATTTGGATAATAGAGACATTTTATTCAACCATTTCTTTTATTTATATTCAATAAACCTGTTGATAGAATTATCAACAATGTTGTGTATCTTATTGTGGGAGTTATAATTCCAGCTGTTCTGGTACGTAAAGTGTAAAAAGTTTACCACGGCCGCGGGCAGGAATTACGCAATCTTGTCTGTGGTACACACTGTACATAGAAGTGTCACACTAGACTTCGCCGTCAATCTCACGACAGCAGCGGAGGAGGAAAAGAAAGCCAGATGATCCGTAAGATTGATATTACTTAACAAAGATAGCGACTGAGAGGAAGAAGAGAAAAAGAGACAGCTCGAAGCCGGGGGAATTTGCTGTATGAGATGTGAATTATTATTCGTGTCAACGATAAATATTTGAGTCCAGTCTGACGGTAACAACATATTCTTTGCTGCTAACAACTTGGCTAGGATTTGTAGAAATACATATTTGTATAAAAACTTAAACGTATGGTGCTAACGGTTAATACGGTGTCGGGTAAAATGATGTCCTTTTTGCAGTTTGACCGGACATAGCAGTTTGGACCTAAATAGCCTTGTTCGTCAAGTTACTCGTGAAGACTAATTTACATCGAACATATGAAGCATACGAACATATAATAAGAGTTGAAATGTTTCTCAAAAGAGTTGAAAATTACACAAAAGTCATTGGTAGTACGGAACATAATCCCTTGATGTTTGAGATTCCACCAAACATTTTATCAGATCTGAAAACATTGAGATTAAGCAATAATCTTTATTCATATGTTAACATCTATCAATATATCATCAAGGATGTGAACGCGTAAATGATGATTAATTACTGGAAATAAAAGACGAGAATAAACTTGATCATCTACGTCTGAATTTTTGGAATAATTTATATTATTTACATTCACAGTAATGTCCTCATCTTTGTTTTTTTCTCTCACCTGATCGCGTTCTGTCCTGAATTTCTGGGATGAGAAGTTATCATAGTCAAGGGAAAGGTAGAGTCAAATACAGCTTGGCACCGGTGTCGTCGCAGGAGTTGCCAGAACGAAACTGATTAGGTTTTCAAACTGTTTTAGGTATCCCGGCTCCGAGATTGTCCTCAGGCTTTCCCCCCAATGTCTTTCCCATGATTGGGTATCGCTGCAAGTCAACGAGGGTTTAAAATCAGAGTTTTCCTTCTGTTAGATGGATTACCCTCCCTGCCTGACGTGTTCCATCTACCCGAAGTATATACGCGTACACACACACACACACACACATAAACACATAAACACACATATATATTTTAAACAGTATGTCGGAATAAACTGTTCGTCTTTAAATGCAATGCTTTAAAAATGATTAAATTGTCCTTATCTTTGTTGTCATTATTCCCCGATCGTCTGAAGTTCAGGTATGAGAATTTATCATTATTTACATTGAGACGATTGTCCTCATCTTTGTTGTTTCTATCACCTGATCGCCTTCTGCCTGAATTTCTGGGATGATGACTTCTCCTTATTTACATCATTTATATTCCGACTATCGTTCTCACCTTTGTTGTTATTATCACAACGTCCTGACATACATAGTGTAAATAGTAAACATGATAACGTCATATATTTATGAGACACGGTATTAATTATTAAATTAATGAAGTTACCACTTAATAGAATGCAAGATTTGTTTTCTCCGATAAAAACAGTTAAGCATTAGGTCGTCTAAGCCTTGATTCTGCATATGTGTTATTTAACTACATCCATCAGCAAATTAAAAGAAAATGTTTCTTCTGAATTCGTGTGAGCTTTGCTTTAAATGTAGCTGAAGAGAAATTATTTGTAGATTGCTTAAGGTTTCTCCGAGAAGCCGGAAAAATGTTCTACTCAAAGGAAAGCGTAGGAAGAAATGTACGCAGTTACCAGCAAACGTATGACCAGCATGAGTAATGAAGCGTTTGCTTTTATTTCCACAATTACTGAATGCAACGCATTTAAGTTCCAGATTCCTCAGCAGCATATCTAACGTCTTCATCATTAAAAGAAATTTACCTATAATTTATCTGCCGATATGTTCCCATTAAGATTAAAGAGATAAAGTTAAAACAATCAGGTTATTTATATCATCAACAATAATTGATGACAGCTTCGTTTATTACTTTGTGTATTCCACGTCTTTTTTTCTTTCTTTCTTTCTTTCTTTCTTTCTTCCTTCCTTCCTTCCTTCCTTCCTTCCTTCCTTTATTCTTTTCTTTCTTTCTTTCTTTCTTTCTTTCTTTCGTCCTTCTTTTCTTCCTTTCTTTCTTCCTTCCTCCTTTATTCTTTTCTTTCCTTTCTTCTTTCTTTCTTTTTTCCTTCCTTCCTTCCTTCCTTTTTTTCTTTTCCTTCCTTTATTCTTTTCTTTCTTTCTTTTTCTTTCTTTCTTTCTTTCTTTCTTTCTTCCTTTTCCTTCCTTCCTTCCTTCCTTTTTTCTTCCTTCCTTCCTTTATTCTTTTCTTTCTTTCTTTCTTTCTTTCTTTCTTTCTTTCTTTTTTTTCTTTCTTTTCTTTTTCTTTCTTTCTTCCTTCCTTCCTTTTTCTTTCTTTCTTTTCTTTCTTTCTTTCTTCCTTTTTTTTCTTTTTTTTCTTTCTTCCTTCATTTTTCTTTCTTTCTTTCTTTCTTTCTTTCTTTCTTTCTTTCTTTCTTTCTTCCTTTTCCTTCCTTCCTTCCTTTTTTTCTTCCTTCCTTCCTTTATTCTTTTCTTTCTTTCTTTCTTTCTTTTGACTTTTTTCGATTCCTTTTCCTTCCTTTTTCTTCCTTCCTTTTCCTTTTCTTTCTTTCTTTCTTTCTTTCTTTCGTCCTTCTTTTTTTCCTTTCTTTCTTCCTTCCTTCCTCCCTTTCTTCTTTTCTTTCTTTCTTCCTTCCTTCCTTCTTTTCTTTCTTCCTTCATTTCTTTCTTTCTTTTTCTTTTCTTTCTTTCTTCCTTCCTTCCTTCCTTCTTTTTCTTTCCTTTCTTTTGGTTCTTTCTTTCTTTCTTTTATTTCTTTTTCTTTCTTTCTTTTTCTTTCTTCCTTCATTTCTTTTTTCTTTCTTTCTTTCTTTCTTTCTTTTCATTTTCATTTACTTTTTTTTCGATCATTTTTATCTTTTATTTCTTTCTTTTTTGCTTTTCGAACTTTTTCTTCCTTCTTTTGGTTCTTCCATTCTTCCTTAGAATTTTTCTTTTTTCTTTTTCTTTCTTTCATTTGATTTTCTTTCTTTCTATTTTTTCTATTTATTTCTTCTAAGTGTGTCATTAACTCTTCGTTTTTCCTTCTAGTTTCCATCTGAGTTTAGATTTCCTCTTAAATGTTTCGAAAGAACATGCGATTATTGAGAAAAATATACTTATCACGGATAATTGATCTCTTTCCTATTTTTAAACGCTTCAGTATTTTCATAATTTGCATGAGTCAAAATCACTGATTTGAGATTCCGTATTACATCTACCCAACTTGATTATCTAATCTTTTCTTGAGTTAATATTATCAAGAATGAGAAACATTCAGCTAACAAAATCATGACGTTTTGGGCACACACGTTTGTACATGACTCTTTCTTGACAAAAATATTTTATGTAATTGTTTCATATTCTTCAAAGTATCTGTAAATTCCACCGACTGTTCAGCAAAACTTTAAAGAAGTGGAGTTTTTCCTTCGACGGCTTGCGGCCAACTTTGTTTCAACAAATAATAAAATGGCGATTTTACAACATGTTACATTTTAACTATATTTGAATATTTTTTTATTCTTTATATCAAGATGCTACTTAAACATTCCGAAAACTTAAAGAACAAACGGGTTTCCTCAATGAAGGAAAAAAAACGATAGAAAATAAGGTTTTTATTTCTAATTGGAGTGATTTTGAGAGAAGTGAGACATTGAAAAAAACTAAATATAAAAAATCGGTTCAAATAAAGTATTCAATATTAGATATACAGTCTGTGTAAATATAAATATAAACATATACACTTACGTCAACACCAAGTGGCGACAGTCTGTATTGTAGACTCGTCCTATTCTACCTATTACCCCTAGTAACAGAACAGTCTATACCTTACTCCTACGTACGGAAAACTTCGACCAATAAAAAAAACCGTACTAGGCGAATCAACAAATCTCATTGGTTAATGACACAATAATCTGAAAGTTTCACGTGCAAAACAAAATTGAGCCAAAACTTCTTTGAGCCGATTTTGGACTTTCAAAACATATAAAAGAAAACACCGACAGACCAAAAGAGTCAGAGTCGAACATCCACAGAGAAATTGCCAACATACTCCACGTCACTCGAAATCACGACTCACTACATTATTAATTAAAAATCAACATTCGAACGATTCAAAAATTACAGTCAAAGGTAATTATAAAGGTAGACCACTCTATAAGAACTCATTCCGAAAAACACTTAACATCGACATTTTTAATATTAATTAACATAATTCCAGAAAGACTGTAACTGAACATACAAATACAAAAAGAGACATATCGAAACCTCAAATATCACACACACTTTGCCATAGTAACATATACCAAAAATATCCTGTATATATATATTACTTTTAATTATATATAAATGTTTTGTTGGTTTCTAAATTAGATATGTCTTGTTTTTGATTGTATTTAAAATTCGTTTATTTATTTGTTTGTGGATGCAGAAAGTCACGCAACCTACACAAATTCCTTCTGATTCACTCAATTACAATTAATTAATTCTGCACATCCCCAACAAAATTGGTGACCCCGTCGTTCAAGCAAACAGCACCAATAAAATTGGTAACCCCGACGTACGAAAAGAAAAATTGGCGATCCGGACGTGCGAAAATTTGCGTCCGTGGTAGAGAAGTTACCCGCGGAGGTAGCGGCTGAAGTAGCCGACATATTAACCTCTCTGCCAACAGATAAGCCTTACGAGACCCTCAAACAAGCAATCCTGCATCGGACCGGATTTTCGGAAGAAAAAAAAATAAGAGATCTCTTAACAAATGTAACAATCGGAGATTCGAAACCGTCCCAATTACTACGACGCATGCAACAACTGTTGGGCGACAACAACATATCCGCCATAGTGTTTCGCTAAATGTGGCTGGACAAATTACCATCAGAAATGGTACGAATCTTGGCTGCATTAACAGACGACGTTGACATACAAAAATTAGCAATGATAGCAGACAAAATAGCCGATACTGCCCCGGTACAACAGATTTCCTCAACGGAGACCGTGGATAGCCTTGTGCCAGATGTCAACCAACATTCAAAAATTGTCCTCAGAACTAAAAAGAATATCTCTACAACTTACAAAAACCACATGAAAGTCGACGTAATAATTTTTACGCGACACAGTAACCGTGGTTCAAGATCGACGTCTCGCCATAAATATCAACAACGCCGAGATCATTACTAACATGCCAATTACTGGTACCACGAAAATTATGGCGCGCGCGAAGAAATGCCGACCACCATGTTCGTATGAAAAGTCACTTCCAAACAAACAAGCGGGAAACGGACTCGCTGGCATCCAGTAGAGACGTTGGATGCCAGATATTTAAAAACTAATCGTCTCTTTTATATCCACGACAGAGCGAGCGGTTTAAAATTTTTAATTGACACCGGTGCCCAAATAAGTGTCCTGCCTTTCAAAAATTGCAGCAAACAGACTCTAGTCAAGCATACATCTTTCAAATTACAGGCCGCTAATGGCACTCCGATCACCACGTACGGCGAGCGAACCCTAAGGCTAGACATCGGCCTGAGACGAGAATTTAATTTCCGTGGACTTTTATTATCGCGGATGTTGCAATGCCGATCATAGGAGCGGATTTCCTCAACCATTACAAATTATCCGTTGAGTAGCGTCACAAACCTTAACTGACACTAGCACTAATCTACAACGTTGTGGTTTAATTTCTAAGTATTCGACAATCGGTTTGACGACTGTTATACCTACAGCCAATGGCTACAATGAGATAACCAATCGCTACTGTCACCGTCAACCCATAATGAACCTGTGAAACACCACGCCACTCATAGCATTACGACCACGGGACCTGCAGTTCATTCTCAACCTCGCAGACTCCATCCGAGTAAACTAAAAATAGCTCGTGACGAATTCGACATGCTCAAACTTGGTGTAATCCGTCCTTCAGCCAGTCTTTATGCCAGCCTTCTACATATGGTTGTTAAAGCTGACTCAGCTAGTTGGCGTCCGTGCAGCGACTACAGGTTACTAAACGCGCAGACCGTCCCGGACAAATACCCAATCCCGCATATTAAAGATTTCGCCCTTTCGCTAGAAGGTGCTAAAGTATTCACCAAGCTCGATCTTAAAAAGGCATATTAATCAAATCCCCATTGAGGAAGCCGACATCCCGAAAACTGCTATTACAACGCCTTTCGGACTCTTCGAATTTACGAGAATGCCCTTCGGATTGAGTAACGCGGCGCAGTCTTTCCAGAGGCTAATAGACGAAGTTCTACGCGGAATGCCCTACACATATGCTTATATAGATGACGTACTCCTAGCAAGCAAGTCTCATGAAGAACACCGTGAACATCTACATGCAGTTCTCAAAAGATTACAACACTACGGTTTAAAACTAAATATTGATAAATGCGTTTTCGCAGTACCGGGTTTAACTTTCCTCGGGCACATTTTAGACCAACATGTCTTATTTATTTGTTTGTGGATGTAGAAAGTCACGCAACCTACACAAATTCCTTCTGATTCACTCAATTACAATTAATTAATTCTGCACATCCCCAACAGTATCATGTTTAAACGTATCCAAACCGTTTGGTATTGATCCCAGTGTCCAAATGAAAGAAAGAGAGAAACACACACACAGAATAAACGAGAAAGAGAAAGAGAGAGAATGAGAGAGAACAAATGAGAGCAAGAGTAAGTGAGAGAGATACTGATGTAACAAGCAGGAAGAATTAGCAGCTACCCTCTTGTAAGAAGTGCGCATGTCAGATATATAAGTGTTTAAGTCGGTCTTTGAAATGAATAACTATGAAAAAGTCATCATTTTATAATTAGAAGACAATGCCAGTGGCATTTTCTACACAGCACGTCATTTGCTGTTCTTCCTTCAGCTATAGTAATTATTGGCAGTGGCCCAAGATAAGAAAAATCAACAAAGAACTAGTCACCCATGATTTAACGAAAATTAAATGAACGGATTTCACACCAAATTGAAACCAGATGCTGGGCTAATGTGGCAATTATAGATATCTTTGGTCGAAGTGGAAGGGGTCTATTACAACATAATATTATTCAGTATGGGTCTGTGTACCTGCTGATAAGTCTACCATATCATGGAAACCATCTTCAATATACGACGCGACTGGACTTTGTATCAATAAAATGTCACGTGCTCAAACGAGTTCATTTTCTTCTGAATAAGATGAAAGGTAAGATACACTTGCACCCTTATCCAAGTGGAGCGAGACCATCAGTGGGAAAACAACAAACAGGAGAAAACTGTCTAATGAATTATGCAACGTTATGAGTTTTACCTTTCATGGGCCTCAGTAACATATATACACCGTTCGTATCAATCGTATACGAAAATAGTGGTGGCATCTTCCAGAAGAGTAATAGGATCCCCTACGGTTCATGAGTTATACAGAAATGATTTCAGGAGAATGAAGAAGACTTCACTGTATTACATGTCATTTTTCTTCTCATGCTCATTTGCTGAAACAACACGTTCGGACTCCATGAACTCTTCGATTTCACTGATCAAAAGATCTGCTGTTAAAACACTGACACCATGTCGCAGATAAAGTTTTTTAAGGGGTTGTAAAGTCTATATCTAAACGGATGGATGTTTTGTGTGTATTTAGTGGATCAGCAATGCTAATTAATAACCTCAGTGGAATTCTAGAATTGATCATTGAAGTTATTACATATTTCCTACCAAAAACGGGTGAAACATATGATAAAAAAAATTATAGGCCAATAATATGTCTGTCCACCACATATAAATTGATCACATCTATCCTGATAATCTGTACTTACTTATTTCTGCATGAAAGCATCATTATTCCTTTGGAATAGAAGGGATGTCGAAGAGGTTCATATGGTTGCAAAGATCAACTCGTAATAAATAAAATGATTCTGGAAAAATGCAGGAAGAAAGGAGAAATCTCAGCACAGCTTGGATAGATTAACGTAAAGACTTTTGATATTGTGCTACACTCTTGCATACTTAACGCTTTGGAAATGTACAAAGTCTCCTCAGTG